TGGAGAAAGAGGGGCAAACCCCTCCTGTATCAGTCATATCCAATTTGACGGTACACACACAGAAAAATAATAAAATAAAATTTAAAAAAACAGAAAACTGTAGAACATTACTATAGTATTTAATATAAGATCTAACTAACTAGAAAAATATTCCCTGATCATGGGTAGGTAATCTTGCATAGTGAAAATGACGATTCCACCAAAAGGATAAAAGTTCAATGCAATCCAAACACAGACACCAAAATCATTTTTCTAAGAGATGGAAAATGCAATTTCCAGCGTCACTTGGAAAGAAAAGAGACCCAGAATAAGAAAAGCTCTTCTAAAATACAAAATTCTAATTGGAAGCATATCACTTCCTGATCTCAAAACCAACCTACTACACAGCTGAAGTAATCTAAACAGTATGGTTTGATATAACAACAGACATCAGTGGAATAGAATTGAGAATACTGAAATCAACCCATCAACTTGTGGTCAACTCATATTAGACAAAGTAATAAAACCTTTTAAATTGGGAAATGACAGTCTCTTCAACAATGGTACAACAAAACTAGTCATCTGCCTGCAGAAAACTGAAAAGGATCCACATCGTATATAATAAACAGCTCAAAGCACATCAGAGACCTAGCGGTAAAACCCTAAACCATAAAGATCATAAGAGACTAAATAGGGACAAAATTAAAAGTCTGGCCTACAGAACAAATAAGTTTGCAAACATAGCCAAAAATGCATAGCCTAAAGAAGATAAGATAGTCAAACAGGACCTTCTCAAAATCAAGAACATTCTCCAGTAGAGAAAAAAAGAAAGCCCACAGATCTGGGGTGGGGGGAAACATTTGGGAACAATATTTCAGATAAGGGTCTCGTAACTAAGTTTACAGAATGATACAGGGCCTCCACAAGAAAAAGACTGATAATCCAATCAAAACAGGCAAAAGATATGGAAAGACTCTTCACTAAGGAAGACATTCAGATGGCCAAAAAGCACATGAGGAAAAGTTCAAAACCACTAGCAATCAGAGAGATGAAAATTGAAACAGTGAGATATCATCTCACTCCAACAAAACAAAACAGCAAACAATAAAGGTTAGAGAAGATGTAGAGATATTGGAACTTATATACTACTAATGGAAATGTAAAATGGTACAACCACTATGAAAGGCTGTTTGGTATATATAAAACGAATCTTATTCTTACAAGTGGACCGATAGACAGCATCATGATGGATGAAGATATGGAAATTGCCAACAATTTCATCTTGCTTGGATCCACTATTAACAATCTTAGTATCAGCAGTTAGGAAATAAGGAGACACATTATACTGGGAGAATCTGCAATTAGGGACTTCTCCAAATTATTTTAAATTAGTGGACTTCAGTTTTTCCATATAGAAAAAGAGAAATTACAAATCATATCTCAAAATAAATTCTAACTCTTAATGGCTATAAAATAAAAAACAAAGGCTGTTGGGCATTTCCTCAAAAGATTGAATGTAGAAATCCCATATGAACTAGCTATTCTACTGCTAGGAATATATCCCAAAGAAATAAGAACTGAGACACAAAATTACATATGTGCACCTATGTTTGTAGCAGCATTAGTCATGATAGCAAGAAAATGAAAAGCAGTCCAAATGTCCATTAACAAATAAATGGACCGAGAAATTGTGGAATACATAGTATACTAAGTGGAATACTATGCAGCACTGTTGTTATTGTTGTTGTTGTTGTTAGGTGCCATTGAATTGTAGACGACTCATAGAGACCCTATGAACGAAAGACCTGAGCACTGTTCAAAGAGTTTCTGGAGGCAAGCCATATCGGAAACAGATGCCACTCCTTCTTCCAAGCTTGTTCTAATTGGGGAGCTCCATCAAACACTGTCCACCAAGGGTAACCATTCTCCTATTTGACACATCAGTGTCACAGTGTTTGGCATCACAGCAACCACGAGTTACTTCTGTATAGCAATGCACAGAGCAGTGCTATAGCATGTAGAAGAAAGTTTTACAAAAATTACACAACTGTGGAGAGGCTGGAGAGCATTTTGCTAAGTGAAATATCTGAGTCATGTAAGGGCAAACATTGCATAAAACCACTATTGTGAAAATAGGAAGATAACTGAGTAAGATATGTTTAAATATTTGAAAGGGTAAGGAGGAAAGTGGGCAGCAAAAATGGAAAGGAATAAAATAATCCCTGGGAAAGCAGAGGTTAGTGGAGGAGGGAGGGTGTAGTAATCAGAAAGATTTGATGGGGTGTGAAAAGATGGGGTAATAATAGACAGAGCAATGGTAAGTATATAAAATACATGTTTATAAAAAAACCACAAAGCACATGTACAAAAACCCACGATGTATATGAATGATTATGTGCAAACCAATAAAATTCTTTAAAAAAAAAAAATAAAGACTAATGTGTGCCCGAGGGAGCTCTTTTGGCCTAGTGACAAGAATCTGCACTGCAATCCCAAAGGCACACCGTTCAAGGGCACCAGCTGCTCTGTGGGAGAAGGATGGTCAATCTCCTCTGGTGTAATTAACAGCCTCTGAAAACCCATTGGAGGGTCAGCTATGGGTCAGTTTGAACTCTACAGTACACACAACATTGACAACAACAACTATATGTGCCTGATTCCCTTCCCCTCAAAAAAATATGGGTCTAGGGAGGAGAAAAAAAATACAATGTCAGAAACAAGGCCTAAATTCTAATGTATAAATCTTCTAAACTCTAATGTATGTATCCCCTAGGAATAAAGGAGAAAAAAAATGTAAAAGCTTAATAGAAAACAAAAGGTAGAATACATGACTAAATCCGTTATAAATGTCAATGTTTCTTAAACATATAAAACCATGTTCCATTTCACTCATAATAAGAATATACATTTAAAAAAAACACAACTATCATGGAATTTCTTTTTGTATCTTAAATCAGCAAAACCTTAAGAAGTTTGTTTTTGGTTTTTTGTTTGTTGGGTTTTGGGAGGTTTTTAAAAAAAAAGGTAACAATACTCTGTTGGACAATTTATGCAGAGGCCAATATTTCCACATTCTGAAACTGTAAAACACTTTGAGAGGGTAATTATGAAACAGATTTCAAAATTTCGTATATCAGCATTTTTTTACTTGGGAGTTCCTCTTCTGGGGTTTACAAATATAATTGCATATGTACAAAATGATATGATAGAAAATGCACAACAATCCACCAAAAAGATTGCTAAGCCAGGAGATATCAGAACCAATAGCCCCTGAATTGATTCTGACTGGAAACAGTCCTAGAGACAGAGGACAGAGAATGACACCATATTTTCAAGGCTTTTTGAAAACTGATTGCCAAATCCTTCCCCCCTAAAGAGATTGGTAGGTTCAAGCCATGGACCTTTTGGCAAGCAGCCAAGGTCTTAATCAATGCACCACCAGAGGTCCTTAGTACATTACATAACAAAATTCTTAGAAGTATAAAAATAAACCAATAATTAATTCCTTTTTGCACAAGCATGGAAAGATATCCAGAGTATATGATAATTGGAGAAAAAGGCAAGACACAAAACCGCATTTGTTATAACAAGTTGTTTTACAAACTTTCAATCAAATCACAATGAAAAGGAAATGGTTTACATTTGTTATCCAAAAAAGGGCAAAAATTAAAACACGTAGTTATTTTGTAAGTTTCATTTGTATAAGGAAGCACTAACCAGAAGAATGTCTATCTGTGTTTCATTGATTATGCAAAGGCATTTGACTGTGTGGATCATAACAAACTGTGGCTGACTCTGAGAAGAATGGGAATCCCAGAACATTTAATCATGCTAATGCGAAACCTATACTTGGACCAAGAGGCAGTCGTCAGAACAGAGCAGGGTAACACTGCATGGTTCAAAATTGGGAAGGGTGTACACCAGGGATGTGTCCTATCTCCATACCTTTTCAACCTGTATGTGGAGCAGATTATCTGAGAGGCTGGGCTCTATGAGGAGAAGTGTGGTGTCAGGATTGGTGGAAGATCAATTAATCTGCGTTATGCAGATGACACAACCCTGCTTACTGAAACTGAGGAGGATCTCATGCACTTACTGCAGAGGGTCAAGGACTGCAGCCTTCAGTATGGACTGAGGCTCAATGTCAAGAAGACAAAGATTCTCACCACTGGACCAATTGGTAGCATCAGGATGGATGGTGAAGAGAATGAGATTGTTCACAACTTCAGTTTGCTCGGCTCCATGGTCGACACTCTTGGCACCAGCAGCCAGGAAATCAAAAAATGAATTGTGATGGGAAAGTCTGCTGTTAGGGACCTCTCTAAAGGACTCAAGAGCAACGGTGTCTCTCTGGAGACTAAGGTGCACCTGATACAGGCCACGGTCTTTGCAATCACTTGTTATGCATCATAGAGTTGGACAATGACAAGGGAAAATAGAAGGAGAATTGATGCCTTTGAGCTGTGGTGTTGGAGAAGAGTACTGAATGTACCATGGACTGCCAAGAAAACAAACAGATTCATCCTGGAGAGGGTTAAACCAGGCTACTCCTTGGAGGCAAGGATTCTGGGGCTTTGTCTGACATACTTTGGACATGTTGTGAGGAGGGACAGGTCCTTGGAGAGGGACATTATGCTTGGGAGGGTGGAGGGACAGCGCAGGAGGGGAAGACCCTCTATGAGGTGGACTGATTCAGTGACTGGGGTAATCGGGATGGGTGTGTCAGAGGCAGTGCGATTGTCATAGGATAGAGCAGGGTTTAGGGCTGTTGTACATAGGGTCACTATGAGTCGCAAACGACTCGACAGCACATAACAACAACAACAATAAAAATATGCTTTAGAAGCAAGCAAACAAAAGAAGTAGATCCCAGTATGTGGTCAAGAAAGAGTAGGGACATTGTGATGGAAGTGAAAATTCTTTATGTGTACCTGTTCAAATCCTGAGATATCTGACTATACTAGGTATTATTAAAATTAATTTAAAACAAATATATTATTGCTGGACTATCTCATACTCACCCTTCTAAACAGCTGAATTCTATTTGTGACCCAAAAAAGAAATCTGTTTTAACATGCACTTGTCCATTAGATATATCTCCTGGGTTTCTGCAACGTTTTTCTGGAGAAAAGAATTAAAATTATGATTAGTGATTCTAAACACTCACAGATAGGAAAAAAATAAAATATGGACTGATTAGCTTCGACTTTTGCTTCCAGAAAGACCCAGGGGTTCTTAATCAAACTGATTTCTAGAAATTTGTCCTTGAGGGAAAAATGAATGCAAAATTTAATCTCTTTTTTTTCAGATACATTTTACCAATAGAGAAAAAAAGATGTTGCAACCCCAACCCAACTGCTCCATTGGATTAAGACTGTGGGCAATACAAATGGTCAGACCAAAAGGTTGGTGGTTGTAAGCCATCTAGAGACACCTTGGAAGGCAGGCCTGACAAAAAGCTTCCAAAAGTTCACAGCCTTGGAGCAGTTCTGCGCTGCACGTAGGAGGTTGACATGCATCGGAATTGACTTGACAGAAACTAATAAGGACAGCGAATCCTGGAGCCGTGTTCCAAGATCTAACATGTTGTCCTGGAAGCTTTTCACTCCTCAACTATTCTTTCAGCTATTCACTGATCTCCAAGTTGACTGACTGTCTGTACTTCCAACTCAGGCCACTGAAAATGCAATTCCATTGTCGAATGAAATAAAAATGAGAAGGTATCAATTCCATACCCTTATTACTGGAAAACCATCTCAAAATACATCCTCAATTGAGGAAGGACCATAGCAGACTCTGCCAAGCACAGCCAACATTTGGGGTGAGGTCAACAGGCTTTAAAATTTTTGTAAAATTGAATCTTTACAAAAGGCTTTCAGGATCTTAAAATCACGTTGTTGACTTAATTCTTAAAAGGATGGTTTGGAGAATAATTTTGTCAACAACAGATTGATGTTTCAAAGTCATTAACTCCTAATTTTTTCTCTTTTCTTTTTAAAAATGGGGTGTGTGTGTTTGTACACACACTGAAAACAGGACTCAACAAACTGGTTTCTTGGTGACCAACGATTCTCATTTGCCTTGAGGAAGCCATTGAGCTCCTGGGACAAGATTAAAAACAAAAAAAAAAAAAAGGAAAAATGAGAAAAATAGATACCATTACTTACTGGTGCAGAAGGTATCATAGCTCCAATGATTCCCACGTTTACATATAAGAGTCGTACTTGAGCTGGATCTACTGTAGCCAGGGCGACAGTTGTACTTCAGAATAGTTCCAACACTGTATTTTGTCTCATTCACTATGCTTACTGGAGTAGCGAACAATAAATCAGGTGGAGGATCACAATCACCTGGATGCCAAAATGACAAGAAGCACCAAAAGGTTCCGCTTCAAATACAATATCTCATTAGTGCAGGATTTTTACAAGAACCATGCTTTCCTCCTCTGCCATAACCCTTATATGACCCCAGTAGGTCATCAGTAGTACCAGATTGTGTCTAAATGATAATGGCAATAATGGTATAAATTATAATGACAAGAGGTTAAAATTTTTCATATCTCTTGTTATATAATCATGTTATTAGATACATGGAACAATTGACTTAAGATCAATGGGAGAGACATGCACTGCCTCAGCCTATCAGATTTTCTGGGGAGCTTTGGTGGTAGACTGGTAAGAAGCAGCATGACAATCCCAAAGGCATGCAGTTTGAATGCACCAGCTGCTCCAGCTGCTCTGAGAGTGAAGGGTGATCTCTTGATTTACTGCCTCTGAAAACTCACTGGAGGGTCAGCCACGAGTAGATTCCATTGTGTGAGCACACAACAAAAATCAGATTCTCTACACCTGCTGACCCAGACAGCATTCACACCAGATGACTCTACAATTCTGTCTCAACAAGAAGATAATGTGTTATTAATAATAACAATAATATATCACTGATTGCCTCAGAGAAGGAAATCTGGGTATCTGAGAGACAGATAAGAATGATATTTTAAATGTATTCTTTGGTACCTTCTAGATTTTTAATGATATGGAGAAGGAAGCATCTGGCACTTGGAACATGAAAACTTTACTTCTGCTTCCCTTGCAAAAAATCAAATTTCTTTTTCAGGAACCCAATAGAAATAAATATTTCCTCTCATCTGGATAAACACTTAACAGTGAATGTTGTTTGCTGTCAGGATAGTAAATAATACAGATTTGTTTCCAGTCATAGTTGGGAAACTTTATTGGAAATTCCTAGAGAGGAAATGGTAGGAGGAAATGTTTTGAAAATGACTTCTTTTATATGAAAACAAATTCCCCTAAATTTCAGTTTGTCAAGTAATCTTTCATTGCTAAAGCTGAATTTCTGCTGGAAGTTTAAGTATCTTAAAGATGAATGTGTGGATAGTTTCAACTGATTTGCTGCCAACCTCACTTTGTTCCTTGTTACTCACCGAGTGCAGTAACCAAGAGAGCTGCAAGTAGGATCATCTGGAACAGCGTTGGGTTACCAACTTTGCTGAGCTCAGAAAAAGACCAAACTCCCATTTTCTCTTTTCTATGAAAGGTCCAACTTGGAGATTTTGAGAGGAGCTTGTTAACCTGATGCATCTCTGATGGTTTCTTCTGCAGAGATAACTCAATTTAGTAAACAGTTGATTGGATTTCTATTTTTCAGAGAGTACTAGGATAGATGGTGTGGAGGTAATAGCCTAGAGTGGAAGAAAAGCCATGTGTACCAATGATCCAACACACCAGGCAGTGAGTTTTGGATGAAGCCCTCACAGAGGTCAACTCCTAATAGGGAAGTGGGAGGTTGCTTTGCCCATGAAGCAGCATCCAAGGTATTGCTTTAAAAGTTAGGGCAGGAGGAAAAAAAGTGTCTGTGGAATGAGTTAAAGAGGGGCCAGATTATAGCTATGTTCTAGTAGGATGTAAGGGCCAAGTTTAGGAAGAGTCCTATGGCAGATATGTTCAAAATAGATTGAAAGGAACAGAAAGAAGAGTCAAGGAGGTTAACTAAGATGATTTCAGCTGGTCATCTTACTGGTGAGCCGCAAAGATTACCTGAACAAGAGAATGGTAAGAAGTTAGAGAAAACAGAACGTATATGGGAGTATGAGAGGCAAGAAAATGATGAGATAGAGGCAAGCAGCTTGATTGCTATGGATGAGATGGGAAGTTCCCCATGGTAGCTGCCAAAAAATAAACTGTAAAGAAATAAAGCAATATGCTATTTTGAAAATAATACTTTGCAAACATATACACTGCATGTACATTTTAAAATCAGACTATTTTAAAACAAAAATCACTAAATTTCACTCTTTATTACTACTACTCCCGATCCTCACTGGTGAAAGTACTATATCCTAAACCTAAAGTTCAAATATTGCTCAAGGAAATATATGATGTTAACGCACAATGAAATATTAAATGCCATATTTAATCCTGATACCTTTGTTAGTTCCATATAGTTCTACACTATTCATCTTCCATGACGCATATTGTTGTTGCTGCTAGGTGCTATTGAGTTGAGTAGTGTTGAAAGCCATCATAGGAATAACAGATCTGAACCCTGTCCTAAACTTGTCATCTTCATCATCACTAACAGTTGAGACCATTGCCACAGTCAACTGTGTCAATGTATCTCATTGAAGGTTGTCCTACCTTCCCCCCCCCCTTTTAATAGCAGTATTTTATTTGTTGAAGAAAAAGTATGCTGTGGATTTTTCTTTAAATAATGGAGATATATAAGAGTGTATCTTTAAGTAATGGAGATATGCAAGAGTAATTTTTTATGGGAATGATTTTATGAAACACAATGTAAAAGAAACAATGTATGAAACAATGTAGACAAATTCTGTATGCAGAGCAATATAAAAGAAAACCTTTTTAAAAAAGTAGTATCATCAAGTGAATAACAACTATTCCATTGCCTTTGTGTTGGTTCTGACTCATAGTTCACCCTCCAGCAAATTTCTTTCTTTCTTTTTTTATATTCTTTTAAACTTACTTTTTTTTTATTTCAGTGAACATCTACAGAGAAGGTTATCCTATCTTTTGCCAGATGGTTGTCCATTTTTTGCCTTTCCAAGCATGCTGTCCCTTTCCAAGGAATAGCCTCTCCTAGCAATCTGATCAAACCATCCTTGCCTCTAAGGAATACTCTGGCTGCTTTTCTCTAGGATGTATTTGTTTGTTCTTTTGGCTGTTCATGGGATATTCAATACTCTTCTCTAGCACCACAACCCAAAGGCAGCATTTTTTCTCGTCATCATTATTCACTGTCTAGAGCTTGCTCTTGTTAAGTTTCTTTGAGTCACTTGGTACTCATAATGGCCCTATGTACAACAGCTATGAACCCTGCTCTATCCTGTGCCAACCTCATTATGTCCAACACACCTACCCCCATTACCTCAGTCACTGAAATCAGTCCATCTCATCCAAGGTCTTCTTTCTCTCTTACATTGTCCCTCCACACTCCAAACGATGATGTCCCTCTCCAAGGACTGATCCCTCCTTGCAACATGCCCAAATTAGGTCAGACAGAGCTTCAGAATCCTTGCCTCCAAGGAGCAGCCTGGTTTCACCTTCTCCAGGACAAACCTGTTTGTTCTCCTAGCAGTCTTTGGTATACTCAAAACTCCTCTCCAGCACTACAACTCAAAGGCATCAATTCTCCTATCATCCCTAGTCATTGTCCAGCTTTCCGAAGAGCTTGAATCAGGTGAAACTTAGTCATTAAACTGACATCACTGTTCTTCGGGGCTTTAAAGAGATCCCTGACAGAGGACTTACCCAGTGCAATATGTCTCCTAATCTCCTGACTGCTGGTATCAAGGGTGCTGATTGCAGTCCAGGTAAGATAAAATCACTGACAAATTCAATTGATCCAGTGGTGAAAATTTTTGCATTCTTGATGTTGAGATATAATCTATGTTGAAGACAGTAGTCCTTGATATTCTACAATGCTTGCTTTTCAGCAAGCAAGATTGTGTCATCTGCATAACCCAGGTTCTTGATGAGTTTTCCTCCAACTGTGATACCACATTCTTTTTAATAAAATATAGCTTTTCTAATGACTTGCTCAGTATACAAATTTGATAGATATGGAGAAACAACATAGCTCTGACACAGACCTTTCTGGATGTTATATCATGCAGTCTTTCCTTATCCCTTTTCAGACTACAGTTTCTTGATCTAAATACAAGTTTTTAATGAGTACAACTAAGTGTTCTGGGATTTGTATTCTTCTCAAAGTTAGTCATAGATTGTGATACACACAAATGCTTTTCCATAGTCAACAGAGCACAAATAGACATTCTTCTGGTATTCTCTGCTTTCAGCCAAGATCCATCTGACAACAGCAATGATATCCCTGGGGCTATGGCCTCCTCAACTAGCAGTTCTCTTTCAATGCACTATTCTAGTCAGTTTTGGGTCATCTTCAACAGAACTTGGATTGCTTATTATATTAATGATGTTATTGTTGATTGCTCTCAAGAATGACTCATAGCGACCCTATGAACAAAAGGCCTGAAGCCTTTCTATAACTATCGTCATTTATCAAAGTTCATAGAGTCAAAGAGTTTCATATTATTTGATAATTTGCACATTCTGTTGGATCTCTTTTCTTGGGAATGGGAATAAATATGGATTTCTTCCAGTCAGTTGAGGAAGTATCTGTATTCCAAAATTTCCGGCTCAAACTAGTGAACCTGTCAAGGGTTGCATCTGTTACTTGAAACATGTCAGTTGGTATCCCATTGATTTCTGGGACCTTATTTTTTTTTTTCCCAATGCCGGCACAGCTGGAATTTTTTCCCCCTCAACACTATTAGCTCTTTATCATATGCTACTTCTTGAAATATTTCAGTGTTGACCAATTATTTTTGGTACAATAACTTTGTGTATTCCTTCCACCTTTCTTTTAATGTTTCATGGATCATTAAAGATTTTCCCCATAGCATCCCTCAATATTGCAACCCGAGGACTGATTTTGCTTGTCAGTTCCTGCAGCTTGAGAAATGCCAATTGGGTTCCATCCTTTTTATTCTCCAACTTTAGCTCTTTTACATTCAATAATATGTTGTTTTTTCAAGCTGCCTTTTGAAATCTCTACATCTCTTCCCCTTGTTTTGGCTTTTCAATGCTTTAGTGAGAATTTTCAGTCTCATCGGCCAACTGTTTTGGTCTTTTATTCCTCCTCTGTCTTAAAAACAGCTTTTGCTTTCTTCATGTACACTGTCTTGGATGTCATCCTACAATTTTTTGATCTTTGATTGTCAATGTTTAATACCTCAAGCCTGTTCCTTAGAAGATGTTTATATTCAAGTGAAATAGACTCAACATAGTATTTTGGTTCTTGTGAATTGATTTTAATGTTTTTCAATTTCAGTTTAAACTTGCACATAAGTAATTGATGGTCTGTTCCACAGTCAGCACCTGGCCTAGTTTTGACTGCTGATATTGAGCTTCTCAAAAGATTCTTTCTACAGATATAGTCAACCTGATTCCTATGCAGTTCAGCAGGTGAGGTCTACGTGTATAGCAGTCATCTGTGTTTCTTAGAAAAGGTATTTGCTGTGAATAAATTATTGAATGCAAAATTCAATTCATTCTCAAGCCTCATTTCTGTCATCAAGTCCATAATTTCCAACTACCATTTCCTCTACATAGTTTCCATCTTTTGCATTCCAGTCACTAATTGATATTAATTAATCTTGGCTGTTTGGTCAATTTCAGACTGCAAAAGTTTGTAGAATTCGTCAGTTTCCGCCTCTTTGGCTCTAGCTGTGTGTGCATATATTTGTATATCAGTTGTATGAACAAGTTTACCTTGTGCAAGCATAGATAGTATCCTATCACAGTGTTATACTTCAAGATAGATCTTGCAACAGTCTTTTTAACTATGAATGCAACACCATTCTTTTTAAACTTTTCATTCCCAGTAAAGTGATCATCTGATTCAAAGTGGCCAATTTCAGTCCATTTACACTCACTAATGATTAGAATATCTATCTTTAGTCATTCCCTCTAATTTTTTTTCACAACTTCCAGCTTTCCTAAGTTCATGCCTCATACACTCTGCATTTTAATTAATAGTTGTTTGCAGCTGTTTCTTTTCATTTCTTAGAGACTTTCCTTCTGGGCTCTACATATATATAATACTATGTTGTTGCTGTTATGTGCCATCCAGTTGCCTGTGACTCATAGTGACCCTATGTTCAATAGCTCTGAAGCCTGCCCTGTCCTGAGGCAGTCTCACTGACTCAGATACACCTACTATCATTACCCCAGTTACTGTGTCAATCCATCTTATCCGGGTCTTCCTCTCCTATGGTGTCCCTCCACTCTTCCAAGCATGTCCTTCCCCAAGGACCAGTCTCTCGTGGCCATGTGCCCAAAGTATGTGAGACAGAGCTTCAAATTTCTAGCAGCTAAGGAGAAACCTGGTTTCACCTTATCCAAAGCAGACCTGTTTGTTCTGTTGGTGGTCCATGGGATGTTCAATACTCTTCTCCAGCACCACAACTCAAAAGCATCAAAGAAAAATGTGGTATCAGGATCAGAGGAAGACTCATCAAGAACTTGTGTTACACAGATGTATA